TCACTGGTATCGGAAAATCAGTTTTTGTGATGTAACTGGATTATTGCATGGGGTACGGGAGAAGTGATGACCGCTGAAACTGCCAAGCTCCTGTAAATAAACCAGAACTCTATTTAAATTATGTTTGCCAAGTAATAAATAATTAACACGCATAAATTTAACTTGCTACATATATTTTTTAAGATGTTATTAAATGTAACGAAATAAGATTAAAGTAGACTAAACTTTATATGCACAGGCTGTAGGAGCTAACTTTAGTTGAAAGGGGGTGTCAGCCTAAAAGAAAATGTTAGCAAACAAAACCAAAAAAGTCAATTTACTTTTGAAAAGGGAACAACCGTAACATAGCTTTACATGTATATTATTTTGTAAAGTATTTTTGAGGGGTAAAACTTTTGATAAGCTTTGTTTTCTATTGTTAAGTATATAATTGTAAAAATATTGCCCCCTCCCCTTCCCCTGTTCTTGTGGATATTGTATATAGTACAGAATGAAGGATAATTCTTTTTCTTACTATGCAATTTTAGGTCATATCTCTCCATGAGCACTGGAAGTTTGTGTAACATTCAATAAAATATATTTAATATATGCAGGTATATAAGAATTATTTATTTTCAATACAAACCACAAGCTAAGTAATGTACTTCCCACAGGCACCTGAATAGTGGATTTAGGACATGAACTTATCGTCAAGTCAACCCCCCCCCCCCATTCGGACGGAGTTTAAGTTGAGTTACTTTTCATGATATGCTCTATTAAAATCAACCATGTCGGAGACCCATTTTCGGTGAACGCCTTTGCTTTTAATTTGTCTCGGTAGTATCTCCCCTTTTGCCAGCTTTTCCTGATTTTGTATATCTTAAAACGACATGCACCTTTCGATCTTCAGAAATTCATAAACCGAAACTAGGAAAAACACATGGCTGTTTAGATGTCAAAATTTAATTTAATATTAAACTAAAGTTTAATTTGCAATTGATGCTTTATCTATCCCAAATATTGTAAAAACTGATTTTTTTTTTTATTTAATCGTATTTATTTACACACTTTTGTTTTCTATGCTTGCACAGATTGTATTAGTTTCTACTTACTGATGATAGTTATATACGGTTATTATACTTTCATGTTAAATACTAAAATCTGATTGGTTTAGACGCATTTAACAATCCGTAATGTTACCCTCAGCGAGAGCAACACACTTGACAACGGGTAACATTACGAAAATATCACATGCGTTCAAATCATGCGCGTACGGTTCACCGTAGAATTCTCAAAACGTAGGTTGTGCGTTTGAAAGAAACCGAATAAACGAAGTCAATAACAGTTTGCGCCCGATGTAACTTACTTGAAAACAACAAACGACAGACGAAACATCCTTGCGAGTGCAAACTTTAGATGATAAAGAACTTTTTGAGTAGCAAACAAACAATAAAGAGGTTGGTAAATCTTTTCCGAAGCTTTCTTATTGAGAAAAATAGAAGCGGGGAGTTTGAAAGCTTTCTAAGCATGAACTTAACGACGATCACTGAATTTTTTTTATGACATCCGAAATCAATAAGACATTCAGTATAATAAAATAAATAGTGCACGTTTCTGAAGGTAACAGTTGAAATTGACACCCCTCGGAAAACCATTGTCAACCTCCGCGGCCGCTGACGCGTCGGTTGACAATGGTTTTCCTTGGGGTGTCAACTTCAACTGTTACCCCTCAAAAACGTGCACTATTTATATATTATTTTACAGATTGTAAATGCTGTGGAAAATAATCACCCGAAAGAACAAAAATGCTATAAAATATACTGTATTTACCTAGTAAGGATTTTTTAAATAGTCGTCACTACATATTTGTAGAATACTTAATGCAAAAATTATTCGATACTAACAAATATACACTACTACTAAACCGATTATAGTAAGTTAATATGTGGGTGAATTCTTAATAAAGGTACAGAATAAGAATGACAGATTTGGCGGAGAATGTTTTTAAAGATATTTTATGGTTATTAGCGGGAGGGGGTTGGTCCATCTTTGCTAGCAATGGTTTGTGAATCGCAAACTCTTGGCTAGCGACACTCCAGCCATGTTTAAGTGGTATATAAGTATCCCACTCTCTCTGTATCCCTCCATTATGTATCGGAATCAAGCAAGGATCTGGGATTTTTTCCGGGGGGGGGGGGGGGGGGGGGAGTCCACCCCAGTAAAAAATTATCTAGACCATAATTTGATGACGAGTAAAATGAAAAAAAAAAAACATAAACAAACAAAAACGCACACTGCTTCAAACGTGAAAACCTTATTTCGTAAAGGGGTTGGTTGGGGATGGGTGTGTGGACTTCACTTGTTAAGCTTCAAAAGAATTACTCCTCCTACTATCTTAATAGGTGTCCTTGTTTTTTAGGAGAGGAAGAGGGTCCAAGGTCATTTTTAGCTAATTTACTATCTACATTTGATTACTCCACAAATTCGGGGGAGGGGGGGGGTGTCCAGACCCCCTCTAGATCCCCGCATTGGAATAGCATTAAAAATATGTTGAGTGTTTAGATATTGATTTGATTTAATTAAACTTTTAGAGAAATATTCAGGAATTTTATATATAACGTAAAATCCAGAAGCAACGCCGGCGTTAAAACACACACAGAAAAAAAAAAAAAACAGCAGTGCAAACGTGGAACTTGCTTTTAAAGTATTTGCTGATTTGTGAATATATAAAATGTCTACATGAAGAACTGCAAGCAATACAATGAGAAAAAAAAAATCTTAACACGAACTGCAGTTTCATACATGAAAATTTCAGAAAAAAAAAATTAATTTCAATCTACCAACCAACAAATGCTGCATAGAACAGGTGCTGTATGTTACGAGAACGCATGAAGATTATAAAATAATCGAACTCATTTAATATTGTCAATTTTCATGCATGCAAACTTTCAAAGTATAAACATTTCATACTTATATTACTTACTGAAAATTCATCGTCCATTCTGTTTTCTTTACTTAGGCCTATCCTTTCTGTCACTAAATGAGGTCTTGCCCGAGTGACGTATTGTAAATCAAGTTGGCTTTTCAGCATGTGATGTTTAGTGGATCATAACACTTTACATTCATACAGGCGGGTTAACGTATAAATAGAAATTTTGACATCTATTTGTTTCGGTGTATGGTTAATTATTCATTATACTAGGATATCAAAACTAGCGAAAATAACTGAACAAAAGTTAAATAAATACATTTGTATATCGTGTACATTCAACTTAAAATTGTTCGTGAAGTGCACATGTAGGATTCAAACATAAAATATAATAATATTAGAATATTCGTCGGTGGTATCTTAAGAAAATATTTTAAAAATGGCAAAGAAACGTATTCTACACACGATATGACGATCAACATACGTATTCATTATATACTTTCACTCTGAAAATAAAACTGAACAACGGAAAGTGGAAAGGGAGAAAATGTGCGTTTTAGACGCTAAAATTTGACGTCACAATAAACACGTTTTTCTCAACGTCAAGGTTTATGTCATTAAGCCCGGTTTTGTCAGAGAGCGGACCATATAAGATTTGGTATTCTACCACTAAAATTCTTTAAAAAGAATATACAATGTACACGCATTTGAATATTATAATTTGAAGAAGGACAAATAAAATTTCACTACTTATTTTGTCTTGTCATTTTTCAATAACTTACCTGTGGCACATCCATCAATACAAGTACCAGATATATGATTACATGTAAGTCTTTTCTTGCACTTCCCTGTACATTGGAATTTACATTCTAGACCGTATGAGCCACTTTGACAAGCTAAAAAATAAACAGTTAACAAATTTGAAGCGCAAAATATCTCACGTTGGCACAAAACTTTGTCTTATAAACATATTCAAAAAGCTTTACGTGTTTGACTGCTCCTTCCAATCAACCCCGGCTTACATCCAAGACATGTGCCTTGGATGACATCACATTTGTTGTCTTGACAATTAGAGGGACATATGTTTTCGCAATACACACCATAAAATCCATTGGAACAACCTAACAGAAATTACGGGATCTGTTTTACGTTGTCAAATATGCAGTTGACATAATATATATATATATATATATATATATATATATATATATATATATATATATATATATATATATATATATATATATATATATATATATATATATATAAAGCACTAAAAACGAACAACACTGCATGTCTTAAGTGTCGGATCTACTAAGTAGATACAAGGTTACGGATGGAAATTTACACAAAGCACTAAAAATGACCAACGACACGAACAATAATAATTGTCAAATTTTCGGGACGACCTGCCCCTTCCTCAGGACAAAGAATAAGTTAATAAATCATAAAAACAAGGGAAATAGAGAAACCAAAACAACTAGCACTACTACTTAACTACCAAACACTAAATATTTACAGTGTTACATGTTTAATTTCAAGTTAATAAACAGTCGTGAAGAAAGAAATCCGGAGCGCTATGAATTGCTTCCGGTCTATCGGGTGAACTCTGGTGAAGTGCGATTTACATAATTGAACGAATTAATTATCGCTAATTAATTACGACAAGCAGTAAATCGTACATTGTCTTATTCTCTCAAAATAGCGTAACTATACATGATAAATCAGTTATTATTATTTACAAATGATAATATCCTTTATGTGACGGAGATAAAGAAACTGTATTTGTTTTATTTGTTTTAATTTAATTTTGATGTGACATGATTGTATTTTGGTAATTGTTGTAATTTTGTTTGATGTTTACAAACTATTTATCTCGGGATCAATTGCCTATTTTTAATCGATGACATCATTGTCTTAATATACAGCCAATCAGCGTGGCTTCTCCCAATCACGTGACCATTGTTTATTTATTTACCAGAGGAGAAAGCCACGCTAAATTGCAAGGGAAAATTGTGGTGGTTTACGGATCTCTAGCATTGCTCGTTCCAGAGACTTGTTGACTTTTGATGTGTTGCCACACATATGCTTCATGCAGATTGGGGAGAATGACATTCTGTTGAATAGTGACGAAGTGATTGTGCGTGATATTTTATCATTAGCGTCTTATCTGCATTCGGGTGTGGGCATACGAACAGTCATTGTAGGCCAGCTTCTACGCCGCCAGCCTTGGGCTTCGTCTTCGGACTTCAACGATCGCATCGTCGCCATCAACGTTATGCTAAAAGAACAGTGTGCAGCTATGAACGGTGTACATTTCTGGCCTCATAGAGGCTTCTGGGAAGACTTGACATTCCTGTGCCATGACGGGGTACATCTCCGATGCCCTACCCCATCGCCTCTTGTTGTGACCGCCTCTCCTATGCATCGTTTTTGGCGAAGTGTTCGCTCAGCTATCTTACATCATAGACACATTTCAGGCCAGTATCATTCTGCTTAAGTTTGCTTGTCTGACCTTGTTTTTCAATTGCTTTACATATATATAACCATATTCTGTAACTAAGTACATTCAGGGATGTATTTCAATATAAATGTTCTATTTAAATAATGCACCTCCATATTCTGAGACCATAACTATGGTCTACTTAAGTCATTGAGTGCATGCATCACATTCTGTCATAGGCTTTAATGTCAAATGCTTTATGTGTTTCATCAAACTTACTGATGATTATTAGACATTCAGTTTGTTTTTTGTGGTCAATGAACAACATAAATACAGCTTACATAAACTTTATTGGAGTAGGCATTTATTAACTCCTATATGTTTGACTGGTTTATATACTTTGTAAGCAATTTCTCTTTGTATTGTGGGACCATACACATTACATAATGCTTACGGTTGATGTTGCGGGACCATACGCTTCATCTTGTATGAGTATATAATTGTATGTGCATTTTCTTTTGGTGCGGGACCATACCACCAAAGACATGCTCATTTGGTTGTTGTATTGTGGGACCATACACCTTACACAACTGTTTTCATGACCGTACACCAATTCGCAGTCTGTTGTTGTTTGATGTTGCGGGACCATACGCATTATCATTTTATGACTGTACATGAATTGGTAGTTTGTTTTTGTTGGATGTTGTGGGAACATATGCAATATCATCATACTATGATAGATATACTATATTACATTCCATATGCATTTTTCTTTAGTGCAGGATCATGTGCACCTTATCTGTACTATTTCAATATTTATTCTGGTGGTGATTCATCCACATAAGACACTACTGTTTACTCGACAGTATTTTTATACACTCTATAAAATATGGTTATATATTCAACTGTTGCGGGACCACACGCAACATCCTTGTAATCATCATATGTACATACAATATATTTCACTAAGGTATGGCTTCAGGTCTTTGTAACCTTCTAATTTGTTTAACTAGCTGAAAATTTTAAATCTTAAAATTGGGTCAGACAAGCTTCAGATTCTCCTTTGGTGTTGTTCTGTTTTCAGCTACTTTTCAGGTATAATGATAAAAATTGTATAAAAATTTATACCTCATTCTTTAGCCATAATCTGTATTATGCAGCATTGAGGCTGTATATGTTTATTTTGTGTCCAAGGCTATATATATACATATACATGTGTATATAAATATTTATATAGCTGTATTTCTACTGAGCCCTTTGGGACATTTCAGTATCATTCAATGAATAATTATTAATTGTGTTCATTATGCTTTATTGTCGAGGTGTACAGCCATGCCTCCAAAGAGGGGACAGAAGTCCTCAGGTGCTACAACAGCCAAAAAGCGAAGGGCAGTCCAACCGACAGAAGGAAGTCAAGCCATATCACTAGACCTGCCGCCTGTGGGACCACCTGCTCAAAACAATGGACTCACAAACATTGACTATGACAAATTAGCTGTGGCAATTCTAAAGCACTCACAAGGGCACAATGGGCTAAACGTTCCAACTCAGGAGGCCCCTTCAGTGCCAGCACCTACGTCCCACTCAGCTGACACATCACCAAAACCTACAGCAGATCCACAACCACCTTCAGTTCCAGGTCCTTCATCTCTGCAACCAACAAACAGTGTGTCAAGTTCAACGCCATTGTTGGGGGATCTGTTAGATCAAGTTTTTGCAGGTGAGCCAGCAAGGGCAACTGATCTTCCTTACTCATCTACTATTGTTAGTGATGGCATTCCCCTTGGGTCTTCAGTTTCTAGCAAACTTAAGACAAAAATTTGGAATAATGAATTCATTGACTTTCGATCCCTACAAAATACAAGGGAAGAACCTTTGAGTGTTTCGATTTCCACTGGGGTCATAAAATTGCACCAAAGTCCAAAATTCAAAAGCCCCATAAGTATTTCCCAATGGACAGATGCTTTCTTTTTGTTTGCAGCAGTGTACATTGAAAAGTACCCTGCTGAAGCCCCCAATCTTTTAAAGTATGGGCACATGGTAAGGGAAATTCAACAACTTCATGGGGACAATGCATTTCGTTCATATGATGAGCAGTTTCGAAAGTTAAAAGAAACTGTTAATGTACCTTGGCAGCAACCTATTCAGGAATTAAGGCTGAGGGCAGCCACACTCTCAAAAGCTTTCCCTCCCAAACAATCACAGAATAATCAAACCCAGCCCTTTCGCATCAAGTTTTGTTTTCAATACAACAGAGGGGAACGTTGTAGTAAAAACCCCTGTCCCTTTCGTCACATCTGCATGCAATGCAGAGGAAACCATCCCAAGTCCAAATGCACAGATTCTTCCAAGCCCAGAATGCAGAATTCACACTCAAGAACTCCCAACTCCAATCAAAGTAAAAAATCTGCTTGAAATCCTGCAAGGTTATGACAAAGACAAACTTTTAGTTATCAAAAATGGATTCACCTATGGTTTTCACTTAGGTTGTAGTGGTATACCAAGCTCAAAAATATCTAGGAATCATAAAAGTGCACTTGAACATAGTTCTGTTATACAGGAATTCATTAATAGTGGTATTGAATCAGGGAGAATAGCTGGGCCCTTCCCCTCTCCACCATTTTCCCAGTTTATATCTTCTCCTTTAGGAGTTGTTCCTAAATCAGACCCTGGTAAATTCCGAGTTATACACGATCTCTCTTTTCCAAAACATAATTCAGTCAACTTTATGATCCCTGAAGAAAATTCAAAAGTGAAATATGACTCTTTAGATGTTGTAACAGACCTACTTAGAAAATTTGGTCGCGGTGCATTGATGGCTAAGACAGACATTCAGGATGCTTTCCGCATAATTCCAATTCATCCTGATGATTACAAACTCTTAGGATTTTCTTGGGACAGTAGGTTCTTCTATGATAAGTGTCTACCAATGGGTGCGAGTAGTTCGTGTCAGATCTTTGAACGCCTTAGTAGTAGTTTGCAGTGGGCAATGTGTGAAAAATTTTCTGCTTCCGGAATGTCTCATATGTTAGACGATTTTTTCTTTATCGGGCCCAAGGGTTCTACTAAATGTCAAGCTGATCTTGAAAGATTCTTGTCTATTTGTGCAAAATCAGGCATACCCATCAAAGAGGAAAAAACAGTTTTTCCTACTACCGTATTAACCATATATGGGATTGAGATTGACTCGAATACATTGGTATGTCGTTTGCCTGAATCTAAACTAAACAAAGTCAGGGACAGTTTACAAGCAGCAAAACGCAGAAAGAAAATTACTTTACATGACCTACAATCTTTGATAGGATTGTTAAATTTCGCTTGTTTAGTTGTTGTTCCAGGTCGAACCTTTTTGCGTCGCCTCATTGATTTAACATGTGGGGTCTCCAACCCTAATCATTTCATCCGCCTAACTTGTGAGGCAAGAGCGGACTTGCATATGTGGTCACATTTTGTAGAATCTTATAATGGCAGGTCAGTTATACTTCCTGATGTTTGGTCATCTTCCGATAAAGAATTGTTATTTACTGACGCATCAGGCTCATTGGGTTTTGCGGCAGTTTTGGGAACCAACTGGTTTGCATTAAGTTGGGAGGAAGTTCTAGATTTAGCACAATACCAGATAGCCATTAAAGAGTTGTTACCCATTGTGTTAGCACAGGAAATCTGGGGTCCTGCTTTAGCCAACAAAAAGCTCCTATTCATGACCGACAACATGGCCATAGTACATGCCATTAATAAACAGACTTGTAAAGACAAAATTCTCATGAAGTTGATTCGCAGATTAGTTCTAACAGCACTTTCACACAACATCCTTTTCAAAGCTAAACATATTCCAGGCAAAACAAATACTCTGGCAGATCATCTTTCACGATTTAAATTGCAGGAAGCCTTCCAGATAGCCCCTCATCTCAGTCCTGTACAGACAGAAGTTCCCAAGGACCTCTTAACAATTTGAATCCAGTCTGCATGAAACTACTAGAATCTGCTCTCTCATCATCAACCTCAAAAGCTTATCGCCGAAGTTGGAATTTGCTCCTCAAATGGAAACCTGACATATCACTTCCAGTCTCAGTGACAGATGTTTGTAACTTCATAGGCCATTTATTTCTTCAAAATTACTCACCCAGTACAATTTTTTCCCACATTTCAGCTATCAGTTTTATTCACAAGTTATGAAGTATCTCAGACCCTACTCAAGCCTTTGTGACCAAAAAAATTCTTAAAGGGTGTCAAGCTGTAGGCTCAAGGAGGGACACACGCCTGCCTATCACAGCACCTATCTTACAGAAACTCATTGCAGCCTTAGAACACACTGTGTCTCAGTATTCACTCAGACTTCTTTTGCAAGCACTTTTCTTGGTAGCCTTTCATGCTTTTTTGAGATTAGGGGAAATAACAGCGAAATCAGTTAAAGCTACGAATTGTATTTTACAGAGGTCTGACATAACATTCAAACAGGAAAACGCTTTGTTAGAGGGAGTTCAAATAATTATGAGGGATTATAAAACGAATAAACACCATGCTCCAATAATCATTTTCCTTCAAGCATGTCCCAGTTCCTTATACTGTCCAGTTAAGGCGTTGCATAAGTATCTTGCCTTGTACAAACATACATCCGGGCCATTGTTCCAGACCATGGATGGCTTGCCAATTACATACTCGGTTGTTACTTCACATCTCAAAGCAGCAATTCAGTTTATTGGACTAAGTCCGGATCAATTTAAAGGTCACAGTTTCAGAATTGGGGCAGCAACACATGCAGCCTCACTTGGATTTTCAGACAATGTCATTCAAAAACTGGGAAGGTGGAATTCCGATGCTTTTAAGCACTACATTCGTATTAAGTCCTTTCATCTATAAGTAATTGACATGCTCAATTTTTAGTGCATACCCCGGTGTAGCCCCCCAAAACATACACATGTGTAAGAAAAACTTTTAGACAGGTCAGAAGTTTTCTGCTGTCACAAATAACCACATAGACTTTGTAGGGCAGGACAGAAGTTATCTGCTGCCCTTTATCAAGCATTTGTATATAGGAGACAGGTCAGAAGTATTCTGCTGTCTTTCAATCCCTGGTCAGATCCTGTTCCATACACATATTTTTGGGTACACGGCAGGTCAGAAGTTTTCTGCTGCCTGAAAGTTATTGTTTTCAACATGTCAGGTCAGAAGTCTTCTGCTGACATAATTTTCTATCTCCCTATGTTTGTATATAACATTATTGGTAAAAACTTTTTTTTTTTTTAGGGCATATTGAACATAGCTATCTTGCTGGCCACCACATGCTCTAATGTCAAATAACAAAATGTCTTCAATAGAACTATTTTTTATTAGCTAGTGTTGTATTATATATATATATATATATATATATATATATATATATATATATATATATATATATATATATATATATATGTCCATATTTATTTAATTTTTTGTTGTTATGACATATACTTTAACATGTATCATGAGCATTTGTCTCCTTTTTATTTTGCGCCTTGCCAAGTCGCCTTGGGAGGGTGGATCCAATTTGCAATTGGACTGTGGCGTTCATTTTGTTTTATCCCACCCTTTTTTGATGGCACGCATATCAGTGCCTGCTTTATGGTATGTTTATTTTAAAGGGGGTCAGTTTGCATAATATGATGCCAAAGATTTTTGTGTTCTTAGAAGTTTTTCTAGTCTCTCTGACCCCCTTACTATGTGTATTTTTGTTTTGCGTCATTTACTTAAATAAATGACATTTTTTCACTTTCAATACTGTTGTTATTTTCTTCTATCCATCAAAAAACTAGCTCAGTTGACTTGGCTTCAGACTTGCAACAATAACAAAGGAACATAAATCAGTTATTATTATTTACAAATGATAATATCCTTTATGTGACGGAGATAAAGAAACTGTATTTGTTTTATTTGTTTTAATTTAATTTTGATGTGACATGATTGTATTTTGGTAATTGTTGTAATTTTGTTTGATGTTTACAAACTATTTATCTCGGGATCAATTGCCTATTTTTAATCGATGACACCATTGTCTTAATATACAGCCAATCAGCGTGGCTTCTCCCAATCACGTGACCATTGTTTATTTATTTACCAGAGGAGAAAGCCACGCTAAATTGCAAGGGAAAATTTTGTCGAAAAAACCCTCCATCCATCCCCTTTCTTCCTCCGTCTTTTTTTTTTTTTTTTTTTTTTATTGTTATTCATGTATTAGAGATCATACTTTGCGTGTTCATTTTGTTTTATCCCACCCTTTTTTGATGGCACGCATATCAGTGCCTGCTTTATGGTATGTTTATTTTAAAGGGGGTCAGTTTGCATAATATGATGCCAAAGATTTTTGTGCTATTTGTTTTATCCCACCCTTTTTGATGGCACGCATATCAGTGCCTGCTTTATGGTATGTTTATTTTAAAGGGGGTCAGTTTGCATAATATGATGCCAAAGATTTTTGTGTTCTTAGAAGTTTTTCTAGTCTCTCTGACCCCCTTACTATGTGTATTTTTGTTTTGCGTCATTTACTTAAATAAATGACATTTTTCACTTCCAATACTGTTGTTATTTTCTTCTATCCATCAAAAAACTAGCTCAGTTGACTTGGCTTCAGACTTGCAACAATAACAAAGGAACATAAAAAGAAATTAAAGAAAGATAATATGGAAGGGCAATTTTAAAAATATGAATTTGGATATATTATAAATTTGGAAATCGGATAATAGAAATACACAAAAATGTAAGCTGTAAATATCTGAATAGGTTGTTCCAGAATTGCCAATGCGAATTAATGGTAAAGTTTACACTATATAGAGAGAATGAACTTGTTTGTTGCAATCCGGGATTGGGTCTAGTTCACCTTCATCCTGGTGAAGTCATTAAGATTGTTTATACCATTAGGGCGAAATGACTTCAGCCTGTGCATCCAAAACTTTTCCTTGCCTTTTCTCTGAGCGTCTGTCCATCTTGGATTATGGTCAATAACCACTACTGTCATGCCCTCCCATTTGTGACCTTCAAGGTTGAAGTGTTCCCCAACGGGTTCATTGAGTTTTTTGGTCCTAATGGTAGAACGGTGATTATTGACTCTCCTGCGGAGATCTCCTGTTTCACCAACATACTGTTTGGAGCAAACTTTGCAACTGATGAGATAAATGCAGTTGTCTGTTTGACAGGACAAATTCCCTAGTATTTTGTAGCTGCGGCCTGTAACGGGGCTGTTAAAGCTGTCTTTGTCAGAGCTGTGCAGAGAAGATATCTTCTGTCAGAGCAAGTTTTAAAGCCCCCGTTAGGTAATGGATTGTCCAATCTGGTTCTTACTACCATGTCCTTTAGATTCCTCGGGCGTCTGTATGCAGCCAATGGAGGCTCCTTAAAGACCTCTGCCATTCGTTTATTTGAGTGGAGAATTGGCAGATTCTTTTGAAGGATACCGCTGAGGTTCTGAAGGACGGGATGGTATGTGGTTACCAGAGGGACCCTGCTGCTATTGTCTTTTTCCTTGTAGCGTAATAGGTTTTGCCTGTCATGTCCCGCCATCTCATCAATAGCAGTTTGTACGGTGCGGACATTGTAGCCTCTCTTGCATAAGTGGGACTTGAGGAGACCGCTTTGTTCCTGATATAACGCAGGTATGTTAAGGCAGTGCCCAGATCATATTTCGGCGAATTTAGACTTTTTTTGAAAAATGTAACATTGATAAATCGGAAAAGCATTAGATAAAACATTTACTATTATTATCCATTGTATAGACGTCATTGAGTCTCAGGCTAAAAGAAGCACTCCACTACGACGTCATCACGTGACGTCTATAAATAGAAAAATTGCCTTAACGAATAAGTGAAAAGTTCAACACTACCCCGGAGATAATTCATCAAGCAAAAAATATTTAAGCATTGAGTTATAAAAAGAGAGCATTGGAGAATTTTAGCTAAGCATCATGTGCACTGAAATACGATTTTTGAAAACTAAAATTTCCCTCAAGTACATATGAAACGTACACTGTATTTATTGTAAGAAAACAAAGTAGTTGGCAGCTGTGATGATCATTTTACGACTTTTTTTAACATATATATACTGAACTTTCTCGATAACTTCGCATAGGTTGTTGTAAGATATGGTCTCATATCCACCAGGGTAAGTGACATTTTTCATTCTCTCGTTGTAATAAATGACCTATCGACCATGTCCGATACAATTTGTAGTGAAATCTAAAGAAGGCAACTCTGTTCCGTCTTTGTAACATCTAAATTCGTTTTGTATTTTAGTAGTAATTAAAAGATAAAGGGAAAATCCAGCAATTCTGCCTCTCTGTTTTAAAACTGTCAATTAAGCAAGGTAAGGGTAAGACCAGATCATAATGTTTATTACTAAATCTTGATAACACCAAAAGTACATAACTGAATATCAGCATTGCAGTCTAAAACAATAAAATACTTTATATAATAATATTACTTTTATTTTTATCATATATCAATATTCTGAATTATTTAATTAGTTTTCATTTTTTTTACTGTTAGATCCTCATAGAATTTTTATGCTGATTTAAAAAAAAAGTATAATGCTTGTTATCTAAGTTCTATCCTTTGTTTGCTGATGTTGATCCTGGCAATGCAATTTCTAAATGCTGATACTGGCTTGATGCTGATGCTTACATGTATTTTGCTTATGATGATTTATGTAACGAAATTAGTTCCCTGCATTCGTACAATGATGTACACTAATGTTTATAATTCATTCTACCGACAAGAGTATATTTAAAGAGCTAAATCCACGAATCATAATATTCGGCCCTCTATTTACACAAAATAAAGTTTCGATTCAAGATGGGTACTATACTTTAAATGTTAGAGGACAACATACATGTGCTTCTTTTTCATACATGTGTATGTAACTCATTTTGTCTTATAACGCGCCTTTAGGCAAGCGTGTTGTTGGAAAGTGTGAAATATAATCGATATCGAAAAAAGAAAAGCAATAAAGAAAAGCTTAAAGTCTACACTATCAATTAACTAAAAAAAAATAATTTTTTTTAGATAGGTCCATTTTTGATGGTTCGTGACTCTTGCTCTTAATCGTTATTATTTGTTGAAAATGTTTTAAAAGTAAGAAACGTTTATGTCAGGTCAGCGAGTTAATCCGTTCAAGAAGACATTCATATATTAATAATATTCTGTAACAAAGATTATATAAAATTCTCGTAATGAGTTTTTTGTCTTCCAAATATGTTTTTTTCAGATGCATGTAACATAGTTTTCAACAAAATATTTGATTTATTCAAAATGTTGTTCGAAATCTATATAAAGGGTAAGAGGTTTCATTGAGTTTTTGAATCATTAGGTATCTGAATTGTTCTATACAGATAAAGATAGGTATGTGGGAATGTAGAAATGTAGGGAGAATCTTTGACTGGC